TACCCTCTGCATTTATTTAGTTATTTTATTTAAGTAATTGTGTTCATTTATTTATTTCATTTCATTGATTTATTAAATAATTTGTTTTCTTTATTCATTTATTCAATTTAATTATTTATTGTTTTTTTTTCATTTGTGGCGGTTTTTGCCATTCGTGGTTTAACCATAATCACGTTCTTTATTAATCTTTTCAATATTTTAAATACTTAGTTGAATACTCATCACTATTTTATTAAATGTTAAAAATTAATAATAATGTGTCCTCTTAATTCAGCTTAAAGAAATACCGAACACACAACTATTGTAGAAAAATTGCTAGGTCTCAATGATGTTATCAAAATCTATATATATTGTCAATGTTGGCAGGGGCCTTGTACCTCTCGAACCTCACAGGAAGCACCCCCGATAACTATTGCGAGTCGAGCGCAGGACTTACATACTTCGACCTGGACGTAAACAAAACCCACAATATAGACAATAGAATTAACGAAAAAGCATACACACATAGAGATAAAACTACAAATATTTTATAAAATGAAACTCGCCATTTAGACTCACTAATTATAAGCCTCTCTTCAATCCAGACTACCCTGGTTTCGTTATATTCATATGAACAGAATGATATGAGTATGAAAATTAAATATCTAGAATATACAAATAACTAATTATTCAATTATTTTCTACTTATAATTTTACTGGCCAGTTAAGGTACGTGTATAGACATGCATCCATCAATCAGCACACGACGCAGCCCAAATACTCGAATATAGATATAAGTCATTGCTAAACTTCCAACCGATTATTTCATGTATTTATCTATTTTATTTGTATATTTATTTTCTTTTTAATTTGCAAACTTTATTATACATATAACTATTTTTTTCATATAAAAACATTTCAGCACTCACATATTCTGAAAATTACTTGTACATAGCCATCGATCGTTTTCTTAAATAAACAGAAAAATGCATATCCAACGCACATTCAATGCTAAATTTAAAACGCACATCAAACGGTCAACGCAAACGCAATGCACATTTGGTAAAGAAAAACGGTCAAGGGTCTGTAGCCTATGCCAATTAATGCTTGAAATAACATCTTATTGCGAATGAAAAATGTGTTAATGTGACTGAAGATTGGTATCTGAGGGGTGGTGTGTCATAAAGATAGCAGAAAAGTATTCTGTTGTATTGTAGTTCATTTATTTTGTTAAGTATGTGTGTTAAAGTGAAATGTCTTTCAATTTTGTGAATTTATAATGCTGGTACTATAATTAATAACAGATGTTATCTTCATGAATTATCTCATGATGAATTTAGTGTATATTGAATGAATTCATGAATATATTTAGTACCGGGTAATGAATTCTTCCCATAATACATTTTTATGAAATGGATCTATATTTTTTTTTAAGTTAATATTAAAGTACCAGAGAAATTCTTGAAGTAATTGTGCAAATTTTGTGTATTATTATTGTGATGGAATGCCACATCGATGTAATTGTATAAGGAGTGTATTGATTTAAGTGGTATTTTTTATTTATTTTTGCTATGGAAAATTACGCCTGTGCACATGAGTGATGTCAGAATGTGTGGACATTATTTTTGATACTAATACAATGTAGTTTATGGAGGGAATATCAGTATGTTTGTTGTTGTATATAATTGTCTACCACATGTAAATGACATTTTAGGTCACCTGAGCTTTGCTCAAGTGACCTATTCCAATCACTTTCCGTCCGTCGTCGTCCGTCGTGCGTAAACTTTTACATAATCAACTTCTTCTCAAGAACCAGTGGATGGAATTTTTTCAAACTTGGTCAGAATCATCCTTGGTAGATGAGGATACCAAATTGTAAAATTGGGATTCCTACCCCAACCCTAGGGGCCAGGGCGGGGCCCAAAAGGGAAAATTAACCAATATTTCAAAAATCTTCTTCTCCAGACTCAGAGGTATTACAGTCATTTTCTCTGCATGGATGGAAAGATCATCAGGGGCTTTATTTAAATTGTAAATTTCAGGACCCCCGAGCTATCCGTTCTCCCTTGGGGAGGGGGTAAAGTTTACTATAGTTTATATAGGGAAACAACACTTTTGGGTATATTTTGACAATTTTCTGTTGGAAATTATTTTTACTTGGTCAGAATCATCCTTGGAGGAGGAAGATGGTTTTAAATTGTAAAATTGGGATTCCTACCCCAACCCTAGGGGCCAGGGCGGGGCCCAAAAGGGAAAATTAACCAATATTTCAAAAATCTTCTTCTCCAGACTCAGAGGTATTACAGTCATTTTCTCTGCATGGATGGAAAGATCATCAGGGGCTTTATTTAAATTGTAAATTTCAGGACCCCCGAGCTATCCGTTCTCCCTTGGGGAGGGGGTAAAGTTTACTATAGTTTATATAGGGAAACAACACTTTTGGGTATATTTTGACAATTTTCTGTTGGAAATTATTTTTACTTGGTCAGAATCATCCTTGGAGGAGGAAGATGGTTTTAAATTGTAAAATTGGGATTCCTACCCCAACCCTAGGGGCCAGGGCGGGGCCCAAAAGGGAAAATTAACCAATATTTCAAAAATCTTCTTCTCCAGACTCAGAGGTATTACAGTCATTTTCTCTGCATGGATGGAAAGATCATCAGGGGCTTTATTTAAATTGTAAATTTCAGGACCCCCGAGCTATCCGTTCTCCCTTGGGGAGGGGGTAAAGTTTACTATAGTTTATATAGGGAAATAACACTTTTGGGTATATATTTTATCCATTTTCAGCAGAAAATTACTCAAACTTAGTCAGAATCATCTTTGGTGAATGAGAGTATTACTTTGGAAAATTGGGATTCCTGCCCCATCCCCAGGGGTTAGAGCGGGGCCCCAAAGGGAACATTTACCAATATTTTCAAATTCTTATCCTTTGATGACATGACAAGTATTGTATTTCAGTTAGTTTACATGCTGATTTCCACATCACGTCTAAACAATAAAATAAAGCTACCAGTACATATAATATAACTCAGGTGACCGCTAAGGCCCTTGGGCCTCTTGTTCTTGAAGTCCAATATTTAGTTGGAACTGTGCGGGCAGAGCTTTAGAAATGTGTGTGATTTGATCGAATTTTCAATGTTGTACTCTGTGGTTGTAAAGTTAGCCTGTGATTGTACACTGTACTGAGTGAGTTTTTGAAGTGAGTTTTGCATTACAATCTTTAAGCGATCAAGTTTTCAAATTTTGTAGGTATTGCCAAATGTTTGAACATTTGTCTTGAAGGGGAAGGAATGTAAAAGTGGAGATTATTTGGATACTTAACATTCAATATTTACGATTGACAGTTCACTACGTTTCGTCGTCCATCTTGTTGTTTTCACATTTGGAACCTAGTTACGTAACGGGAAGTGTTCTGAGTAGCTTTTGCGCGACTATTGCACGTGCATGTGTTTCGGTCTATATAAAGCGGTGGTTTTGTATAGTTCGTCAGTCAGAATTAAAGTCCTTGTGAGACTGTCTGACTCTCTCTTTCTCTTCCTTTGTAGGACTCGTTAGGTAATAATGTAGGGCCAGCAGTAATGTTTAGCGTTAGGGATTAGGAAGTAGTCTGTACACATGTCTCTATAGAATTCCAATTAGAGTCTGTCGTCTATGCTTATAGCAAGCAGTGTAGGAGTATGCCTCGTAGCAGGTAATTTTAATGAACGGTATTTTATAGGGTGCGTGAGTATATGTTATCGTATAATGTACTGCTCTTACTTTACACTTGTTGTGTTGAATAAAAGATATTGAAGTTTATATCCTTGAGTCTATGTTCTTTGCCATACTTCATGTTCATCAATTTATAAGACCCCAATGGGCCCAAGATCACCGAACCTGGGTTAGGTTTCTTGGATAGAAACCGCTCCTTTTACATTTTTATCATTTCATTTCAGGGAAAAGTTTAAACAACGTGTGGTTTATTTCCTTTGTCCCAATTTAAGTGTGATGGGGCATATAGTGTTACCCATATCTGTCCGCTCCCATCCTGATTCATCGTCATGGCTCTACTGACTTCAAACTCAACAGAAATTCATGCTCTGACTTCAAACTACCATTAAACAGAAATTCATGCTCAATATGTATTATCTATAAACATGATTAGGATAACTTAACATCACTGACATATGAGTTCTCTAATTACCCACCCCCCAGGTGGCAACAACAAACACCAATAGGCTGTTCACAACGCACCGGCCTGCACCAGTGACTGTTTAATTATTAATAATAATTTCAAACAACATTTTACAACAATTTGTCATGTATATTTTATCCTACACATCTACAATGTATCTCCTAGACATTTACCACTATTTTTTCAGAAAAATAAAATTTTCTATACCTCCGTCCTGACCCGTGCGTTGACCTGAACTGAGGTCCCAGCAACACTTGCTGCACGTGCTACACATGCCCTACAGGTGGCGCCACCTATCGGGGTACCATTAGAGAAAACAATTTCGCGCTAATTCCTTGTAGTCAACCGCGCGAAATATAAATTCCATTCAATTCTCAACAGATTTTCATTGAAGTTGTACAAGGGTCAAATATGAAAATACCTTGATTGAGCATTTAGGTCACAAGGTCTATGCTAAGACCACTGTTGCTATTTATAGAACAACCAGAGGGCCAAGTGGGCAGTCATGTTTAACAGACGTGTGGTAGTTTATTATTGTAGTGGACATATCATATGTAACTACAGACTGTTGTCATATATCATGTCACATGTTCATGTTTTTAGATGTTGGCCCTGTCGGTGATGGGCACAATCCTTTCCATGGACAAGTTCCAGCAGTGGTTGACATTCCTGTCGTCAAAAGGCTACCTCCAACATCTGGTGGACAGTCTACTGCACGACGATGAACAACTACAGACACTGTTGTCCCAGAACCCTGAACTCTGCATCCTCTACATCTAAGAGTCAAAGATGTTAAGAACAGGAACAAGAACTTTCGTCTCTAAGCCCTGAACTTTGCCTCATCTTTACAGGTCTCCCTGAACAAATAGCAGACACCACATCAAATTTCATTGATTAATTAATTTTATAAACAGACAATGGGACACTGCAGATGTTGCCCTAATATACATCGACAATTGTGCATTTAAAGCATGATGTCCTGATCTGAAGTAACAACCAGCTGAACAGTTATATAGATATCCATTATACATTTTGCCATGGTGACAACATTATTAAAATGTGATACAGTGAATACACTATGTTTGGAAATGTTTTTAGGGCATGGCAGATATTAATATTTGCAGGCTTTGTCTTAATGTCCCTTTTATGCGAGATATGCGGTGCTGTTCCATTTCAGGGCCTGCTGACTAGAATAGCAGAATCGACCACCGGGGCTCACACTATCCTTAGGTGTGGCCTCATGCAGGGACTGGCGGGATGTTCCTTCTTTGATATGAGGCCGGAGCTGGAAAGGTAACAACCTGTTTAATNTATTGATTTAAATATTTTAGCAAACTGTGGGACGGAATACATTGTTAAATGTGAAATGACGAGTAAAAATCTTTTTTGGAAAGACGTGTTTAATGCATGGAAAAAGTTAGTAATAGTACGAGATAATCAATGCATGGGAGATAACTCCTTTTCCAAAATGCCTATCTGGTATAATAAATTGTTTAAAATAAATAATGAGAGTATTTTTTATAGAAAGTGGTTCAGTAAAGGTGTAGTTATAGTGAATGACCTACTTAAGGATAATAATTCAAAATTGTTTTATACTCTACAAGAAGCTAGACAAATTTTTAAAATTGCAACAAATTTTCTTCAGTACCTAGGTCTGCTATCTACAATTGTAAGACATCTCTCTCAACAACATGAAATAAAATGTATAAGCTATCCTTATATACCTAGTAATATACAAATATTTCTAAGAAATAGGAAAGGTTCAAAAGACTTTTATAGTTTGCTTTGTAAAAATGATGCACTGTCAACTGGTAGAAAGAAATGGAGTAATTATTTTGATTATAATGATAATACATGGAGAAATATCTACAAAATACCATTTCAAGTAACCAAAAACACAAAACTGCAATGGTTTCAGAATAGAGTTAATCAACACATCTTAACCACAAACTCAAATCTGTACAGGGCTGGAATAATAGATAATCCTCATTGTTATTTTTGTAAATCAGACATTGAAACAGTAGAGCATGCACTATGGGAGTGCAATCAAGTTCAGAATTTATTAACAAATTTGAGTTTTTATTAGATGTTTTGTTTATTCCTTTTGCTTTTAATAAGGAAACATTTATCTTCGGTATATGTGATCAAACCAGAACTCGATACATGGTAAATAACCAAATTATTCTTATTATAAAATATTATGTTTATAAAGCAAGATGCTTAGAAAAAGCTCTATCAGTAAATGGCCTTATAAACTGTATAAAAGAGACTTATGAGATACAGAAATAAATTGTGAATGGGAAAGATGAAAAACATAGACATACCTTCCAAAAAGACTGGGAAAAGTGGCAAAACCTTCTTGATATCCCATAAAACCCCTCAATTTCATGATTTATATGTAGAAAACCAACTAAGTGGTAACAGTAATAGATAGGAATACTCTAAGTATATTGAGCTGATATAATACAACAGTTACTTAACGATAGACAGGTTAATGTGATAATTGGTTCTTCTGTTACCAATCTCGATCCTCTCAACCCCCCTCTCTCTCTCTCTCTCTCCCTATTCCCCTCTCTCTCTCTCTCTCTCTCTCTCTCTCTCTCTTGCTTTCTTTTCTTTTCATATTTCTTAATTCAAATGACTATCATTTGTGTACTGTGTGTGTGTGTGTATGGGGGAGTATAAGTGTGAGCCAATGCCTGAGTATATTTTTTATTGATAATTTGATTAAGGACATGGAATAACTCACTTTGTGAATTGATGTATACAACAACTAAGTGAGGAATTTTAAATTTGAAAACAGGAATGATGATGATGATGATTATGAATTAATGATGATGATGATAATAATATTTTGATGAAGATACATATAGAATGATGAGTGAAGATTATAATTGAAGATGATGATTGTATTATGATGGTGATGATTGTATGATGATAATGATATGATGATGATGATGATAATTATAAGTTGATGATGATACATATGAAATGATGATTGAAGATTTTGGATGATGATGGATTATGGCAATGATGATGATTGAATAATTATATATGAAAGAGGATGATGAAGATGATAAAGACGAATGATGATGATGATATATGTTGATGATGATATTATGATGACAATGAAATTGAGTGTGATAATGCTAAATCCATGTCCATGTGTGTATATGTGAGAATGCGTGAATGTCCTGTTTATGTATATGTAATGAAAAACTTGGAAAAATAAAACCATTACAAAAAAAAAAAAAAAGTGTAATTTTGACAGTAATAGACATGTTTTTGACACAGGTCGAGAGATACCCAGGGGGTCCTAGAGTCTGAGGAGGTCATTCCGAGCCCGATGGCACGGTATGAGCATGTGTTGTTTGCCAGCCTGAAGCTGTGTCTGGCACTTCACACTTCCCTTGGCATAGAGAACCAGGATGCTGGAAACCTGCAGGTACACTGAAACATATTACCTGAAAATGAAAGTGTTCTGTCCACAACCCTGACACTGTGGCTGTGCTAGCTAATGCTCTTCCTTTTCAGGACTTGAACCAGCACTGAACATATATATGATTTTCTTTATCACCTTAAAATAAAAAAAACTCCCCCTGATGCTGTAAAACTCAGTGAATAACATAATTGCAAGCAAGAACAATATTGAATTAATGAAAAATATGTAACCAATTGTTTCGTGAACTGATCTCTCCGACAGTCCGTAGTAAGACATCCAGTTCTATGTGGAAATCTGAAGATAAATGATAACATTTCATGTCGAACATTTTAAGTACCAATTTTTAAACTCTCCAGGTGCTACAGTATATATTTGCCCATGAGGATGTGTTCCACAACATCCTACGGGATCAGCCATCACTAAATCTGTCAGCGTTACAGGAACTCGCTCTGACAACTGCCGTGATTGCCAGGGCCAACTATCGAGGTCTGTTTGGACGGCAACAATATAAAACAGATAGGTCATTATGTGCTGACAAAATGGAGACCAATGTATTGTAATATATCTTGGTTATTAGGTACAGACAGGCTTACTAGGTCATTATGTGATGACACAATGGAGACCAATGTATTGTAATATATCTTGGTAATTAGGTACAGTCAGACTTACTAGGTCATTATGTGCTGACACAATGGAGACCAATGTATTGTAATATATCTTGGTTATTAGGTACAGTCGGACTTACTAGGTCATTATGTGATGACACAATGGAGACCACTGTATTGAAATATATCTTGGTTATTAGGTAGAAGAAACAAAGCTAAAAACATCTTCAATAAAAGGAAACTGAAACAAATAGGACATTGTTATAGTTTAACTCTTCCAACAAACTTGATTTAAGCATACTGTATTTTGTGAAAAAATATTAATTCAGTTATTTTAAATCCGGTTGAATCAAGATCGATCTAGAAATAGTTTTAAGGATTTCAAAAATGTACCAGTTATCCAAACATTTCATAATCCAGCAACTTATGGCTGGTAACAACGATAGCTGTATTGTTCAAGGCTGTAGAGCTAAATCTATTTACATAAATGTAGTCATGGTATTAAATGCCACAGTTTTCTGACTCAAGGTATTCCTGATGCAGAGTTTGATGACATTGAGACAGCAGGAATAGAGTTCAGAGGTCACAAGACACGTATTGAGGGACAGATGCTGGCCCTTGTTCCTAAGTACTGCCTGTCAGAGAAACTCACCAAACAGCTGCGTAACCTGGAGAGTCAACAGCTACAGGAAGGTTGCGACCTCAAGGCTGAGGTCACCCTGGCTTATCAGGAGGTCGCAGCTAACATAACTTCGTTTTGCAGAGCTGTTATATCTACGTCAGGTATGCACAACACAATACAATTCTCTTACCAATTTCCAGTAGTAATTCAGTACAATCCCAGTAGGTTTGCAGTAGACTTGCAGTAGAATTGCAGTAGTTTGCCAGTAGCACATGGAAGCCATTTTTCCTGTCGTACATTGATTTTCCTACCAACTGCAGTAGTTTCCCACTACTGCCTCTGCAGTAGTATAATGCAGTAGTTTGCCAGTAGTAATACAGTAGCATGCAAGTATCCAATGAACTATACTACTGGGATACTACTGCACTTCCTACTGCTGTTGCAGTAGCATCAAACAGAGTTGCTACTGCCGTTGCAGTAGTATTACAGTGCAAAGGCAGA